ACAGTAAACATGGGGCACAGGGTCTCTCCTACATATTGATGACATTTCCTTCATATATACATCAAGTGGTGGCACCAGTAGACCATGTGGTAGTTTTGACTTTTTTTTGTGTCAGTACTGAGGCTTGATCTCAAGACCTCCTGCTCTTGCTTAGCTTTTTCTCCCAAGCTCACACTCTGTCACTTGGAGCCAAACCTCCACTTCTGGCTTTTTTGGTAGTCAATTGGAGATAAGTGTCTCACGGACTTTTCTGCCCAGGCTGGCTTTGAACCACATTCCTCACGTCAGCCTCCTGAGTAACTATGATTACAGGCGTGAGCCACCAGCACCTGGCAGCAGTTTTTTTTTTTTTTTTTTTTAAGAAATCTCATACTGTTTTTCATACTGGCTGCACGGATTTGTATTTCTACCATCAGTGTGCAAGTGTTCCCTTTCCAGCACCACCTTGCCAGCACTAGTGTCCTGACTCTTTTGATAAGAGCCATTCTTACTAAGTGATCTCTCACTGTGGTATTATCTTCCCTTGATCATTTGTGCTATTGAGCATTTGTATGTCTTTTTTTAAAAAGAAATGTCATTCTAGGTCTATTGTTCAATTATTGATTTCTATTTGTTACTGTTTTTTTTTGAGTTCCTTATATATTCTAGCTGTTGATCCTTTGTCAGAATAGTTTGCAAATCTCTTCTTCTATTCTGTAGGTTGTCTCTTCATTCCACTAATTACTTCTTCTGCTGAGCAGATACATCGTGGAATTTTACCCTAGACTATTCCCTGTTCTGTTGACTTCCTCTCCTTGTCCCATCCCACACATGGATCTATCTCAAAAGGCCAGACAAACTCCAGTAATTCTCCTTTGGTTATAAAAAGATCCTCCTCCATGTTTTCTGACGTAGTCCTGACTCGTTTCTCTTACATTTCTCTCTCTGTCTCCATCTCCTACCACCTACTCTGTCTTGTTTAAGTTCAGGCCTTTTCCTTTTGTCACACCCACGGCGCTGGGCTTCTGCTGCCGTGTGTGTTCCTCCATTAGAGCCTGATTTCTACAGGGAAAGAGATCATTTACTCTTTTCTCCCCAGCACCTAGGAACCACTCACAAAGGACTTACCTTGTATTAGCTCCCTTTGTCTAGAGAACTTGTAACTTATTTATGAGTAGTATCGTCATCATCATCACCATCATCATCATGATCATAATCATGATCATCATCGTCATCTATGGCCCTTGGGATTGGATTTAGGGCCTCTTGCTAGCCATTTAAGACAGGTCTGGGTCTTTTTTTCTTTTCTTTTTCGCTGCTTTAGTTTATTTTTCAAATAGAACTTTGCACTTTCAACTAAGTCATTCTTGAACCATGATCCTCCTGCCACTGTCTCAAAAGTAGCTGGAATTATAGCTATGTACCACCATTGCTGGCTTTTTTTAAAAAATTAAAAGCATTTTTTTTGTGTGCCAGACCTGACACTTGAACTTATGGCTTCGACACTAACCCTGAGCTTTTGTGCTCAAGGCTAATGCTCTACCACTTGAGCCACAACTCAACTTCCAGCCTTTTTTTGGGGGGGTAATTTATTAGAGATCAGTCTCATATACTTTCCTGCCCAGGCTGGCTCTGAGGATTGAGATCTTCAGATCTCTGCCTCCTGAGCAGATAGGATTACAGGGGTGAGCTACTGGCACCTGGCTTGTTTTATGAGACAAGTTCTCAGTAATTTTTTGCTCCAACTGGATTTGAACTGTACTCTTCCTGTCTCTGTCTCCCCAATTGCTGGGATTCTAGGCATTTATCACCATACCCAGCCCTGACAACTCTTCTTTTAGTGCAAATCTTTTCCAGTCTTTGAGCGAGTACTTTCTAAGAAGCAATTTCTATCCTGCTCTAGAAGAGGTTTTTAAGGTTTCTGAACACCTAATTCACATATTTGTCTTCTGCCTTAGATTAACGTCTTTAATGTCTCAACTCTTTTGGTATTTTACTTTGTAAGAACAAGTCAATGTTTGGAGGCTCAGAAATACCTCTGTGTTTTGACTCAAAGGCCCTAACAGTCCTTTGCTGATGTAGTTATATGACTTTGGACAAATTAGTTCATATGTTCTCTTCTGTTACATGTGATAATATTGCTGATCTTACAGGATTTTTGTGAGAATTAAATTAGATTTTCTGCTTTTTTTTTCTACTATTTGGGATAGGATCTTGCTATATCTGCAGGTCTCAAACTAATGATCTTCCTCCTAAGTGCTGGGATTACAGGTGTGAATGACTATGCTGGGCTTCAATTATTTTTAATAAGCTGGAAGAATGTCAAATGGAAAGAATTTAGTATTCATGTTAACATTTAACTTATTGCATTACTTTTCTCTTGCTGTGTAAGAAATGTTACTGAAATTTAGAAGTTTAAGATAATCATAATCATTTATTACCTTCCACAGCTTCTTTGGATTGGTTAGAAATAGGGAAGTGGCTAAAATGGGCCATGCTACCAGAAGCACTCTCTTAAGACCATGAAATCAAGTGATGGAACTCCTGAGGATCCACTTTGAAGGCTGAAATTCTTCTCTGTGTGGTTCTTTATAGGGTTGTCCAGTGTTCTGGCTTTGTCCATCAATCCCCCCATGAACAATTTACCAATCCAAAGAAGACATTGCTGGATCTTTTATGACTTTAGGGGCCATCTGCCATTCCCTCCATCAGATTTATTAGAAATCCTCTGATTCAGAGTGGGGACAATACACAGGGACATGAACACCGGGAAACCAGAATCCTTCAGTGCAATTGTGGGGAATGGAATGGCTTCATAGAAGGTTCTAGCAATGCAGAATTCCCAGGAAAATGGGAGAAATAAATCAGAGAAAACCTTCAGCCTTAATCTGTATCTCTTCTCCCTTTGCAATCTTAACTTCTAAACTCTGGAAAACTGACAGAAGACTAAGTCTTATTATAGCCTAAAAGGAATCAGGGAAATCATCCCAGAAGTGGTATTTAAGCTGAGACATGAATTATGATAGGAAGGTAGCCTAGTGAAGGGAGAGAAGGACTTTTCAAACAGAAAAACCCTATGTGCATAGACTTTTAATTGAGAGATGAGGGCAGGGAGGTTGCTCAGCAGTAAAACATTTGCTGAACATTGCAAAGCCCCGAGTTCCATTCCCAGCACCACAAAGCTGCAGAGCCACATGAGTTCTGAGAGCTATAAAAAAAAATTAAGTGTGATCAAAGCTGTGAGTGATACAAGGGACAAAGCAAACTGAAAGACATTAACTTTTGTTCTCTAGTAGAAAATTCAGTAGAACTTTTTGCAGTAATGGATTTTTCCTTCTTCCCTCCCTCCTTCTCTTCCTTCCTTTTTTCCTCCCTCCCTCCCTTCCTTCCTCCCTTCTTCCCTTCTTTCCTCCCATCCTCCCTTTCTCCCTCCCTCCTTTCTTTCTTTGTTGGTTGTAGGACTTGAACTTAGGGCCTGAGCACTGTCCCTGAGCTCTTTTGCTCAAGGCTACTACTCTACCACTGAGCCATAGTACCTTCGGTTTTCTGGAGGTGGAGTGGAGATAAAAGTCTTATGGACTTTCCTGCCTGGACTGGCTTCAAACCGCAATCCTCAGATCTCAGCCTCCTGAGTAGCCAGGATGACAGGCATGAGCCACCAGTGCCTGGCATGGATTTTTCTTTACCCAAGCTGTACATACAGAAGCTACCAGCCTGTGTGGCTGTGCAGCCCTTGACAGGGGTCGGAGAGCGATTGAGGAAGTGTGTGTGTGTGTATATATATATATTTGAGAAACTCAGCGGCTGAATTTGACATTTTACTGAACTTTAAGTTAGATTTAAATACCTGCCTATGGCTGGGGCAGCTGACTTATACAGTAGTATAGCTCTTACAAATAAGAAACTTGCCCGAACAGCCCTGAGGGTAGCAGACAGGCTAGGCTAAGCTTTGCTTTGGAGGCAGTAGGCTGCATTAGATCACAGGGGTCCACCATAACCGGAACCTAGAGCACAGTCAATGTGGCCAAGAGTGTGATGACGTCACCATCATCTCGCCTCTCCCTGCAAGGCAATTAGTCTTCGAGCCGGACTGAGAGTCTAAAACACATGGGAGACCTGTTTCTCAGGAGGGCAACACTTGCTGGAATGATTCTGGATGTGGAGGTTTTGTTTTTGCTTACATACATCACCTAGATAAAAGGCAGCACCTCCCCCCCCCTTTTCCTTTTGCCAGTCGTGGGGCTTGAACTCAGGGCCTGGACGCTGTTCCCGGGCTTCGTGCTCAAGGCTAGCCACAGCGCCACTTCCTGTTTTTATTTTTGAGTGATTTACTGGAGGTGAGAGTCTCACGGGCTTTCCGCGCAGGCGGGCTTCGAACCGCGGTCCTCCGATCTCAGCCTCCCGAGGGGTTAAGGATGACAGGCGTAGGCCACGGGCCTGGCGTCTTCCTCGGTCAAGGCTTGTTTCTGTGAACCCCATTTGATCAATGCAAAGCGCGGGGCTGTCCGCGTAGGTAAGCAGTGCAAGGTCACCCGGGGAGAAAGTCGCCGAGTGGGGCTGTGACGCCGGGCCGACCCCGCAGCTCGCGGCCGGCCGGCATCGCGGCGCGGCCCGGGAGTGGAGCGGAGGGGGCGGCTGCGCCGGCGGGCGGCGCTCTTTAAAGGAGCGCGGTCACGTGACGGGCTGGGTCCCAGCGGCCTCGTGGCTCAGACGGGCCGAACGAGGCTCGGAGCGGCGAGGCTTAGCCCTGCAGGTGACGCGAGAGGGCCGCGCCCCGAGAGCGCAGGCAGGTGGAGGGCACCCGGGGGTGGGGCGCGGATGGGCGGGGCGAGACGGGGGTGGGGCAGCACCCGCACAGTGCGGCAGCGGGAGGGGCGGGGCCTCGCTTCGCGCGGCACGCCCCCAGCCCACCCCCGCCGCGCACGCACACGCGCACTCGGCCGGCTTGGCGCTCGCGCGCGCGCTCGCGACGGGCACGAGGACGCCGGCGGAGAGCGTGCGCGCGGTGACGTGCCGGGCGCCATGTTGGAGGGCTGGTGGTAGCCGCTCGGGGAGGTGCTCGCTCTCTCGGTCTCGCTCTCTCGCTCGCTTCCCCCGGCTCCCTTCGGTGCCCCCCCCGGTCGCCTGCGTGCCGGAGTGTGTGCGAGGGAGGGGGGAGGGCGTCGGGGGGGTGGGGGGAGGCGCTCCGGTCCTCAGGAGGCCCGCGGAGGGAGGCGGAGGCTGCGAGGGGACTCCGGGACGCCATGGACGTCGAGAGGCTGCAGGAGGCGCTGAAAGGTGGGGGAAGCCGCCTCACTCTCGGCGCCTCGGGATCTCCCCCCCTCTACACCTCCCCCCCGGTCCCTTGCCGGCCGCGTCTCCCCGGGCCTCCGGGCCGAGCGACTCGCCAGGCCCGGGCCCTGCGGGGCGCGCTCCCCGCCCA